GTGAGCATATATATATATATGCATATATATGATGTGTATATATACGTAGATTTGTAAGTATTTGTAAATGTATATGAATGTGTACATATAGACGTAAATGTTATATGCTGTCTCCCTCCCTCCCTCCGTTTCTCCCTCACCCCCTGGTTGCTATACGCTTGCATTGCTGCATAGAGAACTATAGCGTGTAAATGTACTCGAATGTATACGGATATATACACATGCGGGATTTATCGAGGTGAGTCCGCTTGTCTACAAGCTTGCCCGTGCATACGTAGTGTATGCGTATGATAGTGTATGTACTCCTGTGTTTGTAATCATGTATGCATGCAATTTGCAATCATCTGCAACAATCCGCCCCTAAACCCTGAACCGTTCTTTTGAGGTGCCGAAGCGTTGCGTCGTCACCGGCGGCCTTGGCTTCGTGGGCCAGCGCCTGGTCGAGACGCTTGTGGAGCGCGGCGCAGAGCAGGAGGGGCCTGAGGTTTGGGGCTTTGGGGTGAGGTCCGGTAGAAGCGTTCGCACTTGAATGCCTTGGCCTTTCGAGGTTGTTTCTTTCGACATAGTGCCGCCTGCAGCCAATGTGTGTCAGAACAAGGCAAGGTCCGGCATGCATGCTCCTGCTCACTTGTGAAAGTTCCGCAGCTCCCTGTCGGTAATATGCTGCAAGTCGACTCTTGGTGAAGGCCATCAAGTATGTCACGGCAGACCTTTGTGACTTCGACGCAGTTCTGCAAGCCGTTGAAGGTGTCCGACTCAGCTTTCCACGCTCTTGCAAGCAGGAGTTTTGCCTGTCCTGAACTGGTTGCGAGTCGGCGAGGTGCAGACTGTGTTTGGCACAATGCAGCTGCGGTTGGCCCATTCCTGCCGAAGCACTTTTACAAGAATGCCACTTGCCGGCACAATACCTAGGGATAGGGTCGGAAGTGAGAATTTCAAGCAATCTTGAGGGTTCATGACAGTTCGGTCACCGTGCACGCGTGCATGAACTAGAATCCATACTACACGCGCCAGAGCTGGGAATCGTTCGCGCAAGGCTTGCTTCACAACTCGGCCTCCAAACGGATGCGCTCCAGCAAAATTCCGTTCTGGTGCCATAAGCTGTGCAAAGTTATCCCTGATAGGTCATCTCCGTCCAGTGAAGGCTCTTGTCCCTAGGAAGGCTCTTTTCCCTGAACCTTTAACCCATGTCAATGTGGACCCAACTCACGAATTCTCAAGTGGAGGTGAATGTGATCGGGACAAGGAATGTGCTGGAGGCGTGCAAACAGCAAGGAGACGGGATTGAATAGCTGATGCGAGGCAATGTAGATCGCTCAGTTGGCCTGGAGGAGTGAAGAAGCTGGTGTTCTCATCAACTCCGTCCTCACGCTTCACCTGCACGGATGATGTTGATGGCCAAACCGAGGCATACAAGGCGAGCTGAGTCGGCATTCCTTGAGCCGTCCCTTGACAGGCAGAGATGCCCGATATTCCTCAGGACTCGGGGGCAAAGAGGTTCGGCAATGATGCCGGGAACTGTTCTGCACACGTTTCCTACCGACCCTGCGTTCTTGCCGAAAGGGCAGTGGGCAAACAACAAAGCAGGGGAGACTAAACACTTGCGCAAGCAATCGGTCAATCTCCGTGCCGCTCTCGCTCCGCCAAGTCGAGGCCAAAGCCAAAGAATCCGCAGACACACCTCCAAGAGGGCCCGCCACGGACAACACCGCCAGAAAACCAGAGACGCACCCCGAAGGGAGTCTCAATGCCGTTACGAGTGTGAAGAAACCCCAAAGCCCAGAAGAAGTGGAGAGTGAACGAGAGAACAAGGACGCATGACGCTGCAAGCCCCCACGGAATTCCTGGGCTTTGAGGAGGAAGCCCCAGACCCCAAACGACTGAGGAGTGGCGAAAACTGATGCGCAGATGCTGTCGTTCGAAAGACCGTTGCGATCGTCAAGCCTGAAAGGGGTGGGCCCTACACCCGCAAAGCGTGAGGTCTAGTAGGCTCTGACTGGCTCTCAACTCAGCCCTTGTAAGAAGCTCGCGAGCACTCCCCAAGCCTCTCAAGTAAGCCGCAGCCGTTGATTGCAGCAAGGCAATTGGCGGCTGGGCGTGCCAAATAACTATCCGATATTCCGAGCATGTGGCCAGACAAAGCAAATGATGCACACAGATTCAAATTCGTAAATACAAGGAAGGAACAACAAGTTGCCGAGTCCTGAGTCAATTGCGGGCAGGATCGCTATGTGGCCGAGTATTCGGCAACCAAGGCAGAAGGAGAACTGCTGCTGCGCAAGGCCCTGTTGTAGATGGATTTAGGGTCGATTTTGGGATCATTTTGCGAACTTTGGTGCATACTGGATTGAGAAGGGCTTCCTACAGCCGTCGGGATTGAGAGGCAACCACTGAACTTCCAGGAATGAAAAGGAGCTTTGCTCCATGTACTACAACTCAACAGAATATAGAATGATACGCACATTGGCGTGGGCGTTGGTGTACACATTTGTGCACATTGTATGTAATGCAATGTAATGGAATGGAATGAAATGGAATGGAATGGAATGTAATGTATGTATGTATGTATCTATACATGGTATATGTATATCCACTCTATGTCCACATGCAGACAAGAATGTCAGCCCAGAATCCTGAGTGGAATACGAGGTTGGTAGGAGCCTGAAAGCTTCGTAGCAATCGCGGCATTCACGCCGAGGTTAGTAAGGGAGCAAAGAGGTCTACATCAACTAACCTCTCTCACCCTGAGATATACATGCATATATATTTATATATGTATGTATGTATGTATGTATGTATGTATGTATGCATATATGTATACACAGATAGATAGATAGACAGACAGATAGATAGATAGATGCGTATCTTTATGCACGCACGTATACAAATCTAACTGTACATATATACACATGCATACACAGATGTTTCTCTCTCTCTCTCTCTCTCTCTCTCTCTCTCCCTCTACCTCCCACCCCCTTTCTAAGACATAGACATGCCTGTTTTCATGTATGCATGCATGCATGATTATGCATGCATATATGTACGTATGTATACGATGAAGATGCACACCATTAATGAAGCCGCGTGTCATAAGTAGTTGGAGTCACTAGAGCCCTACCTCCTGACTGCGTGGCCCCTGACGACCTGACATGGTTCGTGCCGTGCCCTGTAATTTTTGACTTTCAACAGGCTTGCAAGGAGGGTGAGATCCTCTTCATTGCAGAAGCCTCCTTGGACACTCCTTGTTTCTTTGAGTAACATGCAGAGAAGTTCGAGTTGAATTCAAGATGTGGATGTGGCAATTGAGGTCGCCCCTCACACTGTCTATGGGCCACGCACATGCCCAAGCGCAGGATGCATCATCAGAGTCGGAGAGACTGTTTTTGCCGGTGAAGCTAACTGGGGAGCCTCAAAAGAGCTTACTTTATCTCGTGAGGGCTGGATTGCAGTTCGACCTAGGGGACAACCTGTTCCTGCCTAACCTGTTGGAAGCCGCGGGCATTGGCAAGCTGCGTGTCTTCGGCAGTGGCAAGAGTCGGGTTGGGCTGCTCGGCTTGTATTGGCGGACTTGGTACACTCCGACCCTGTGCTGTATCAATTCGATATATTCACATCCGTCCTTCATCTGCATTCCATGTCGTTCGTTCCTTCACTGTCACTAAGACGTACTGTGTTCATTTATCCGTTCTCTCTTTGCTTTCGTACAGTTGTTGCCCCTGGATTGCAAAGTTTCAGGTGAGCTGCAAGACCAAGTCCTCCTGATTGCTTCTTGTAGCCCCGTTCATATGTGCAGCTGTACTGTGCATTGGCTCTTCAGGTACACGCACGTGGATAACTACTGCCACGGCCTGGTTATCGCTGAGAAGTAACTCGCTGACATGAATTTCTCACCTTCTGTGATTTTCTTCTCGGCGTCTGATCGGTGGTTGATGAGTCTGAGGGCTTTCTCTACCAAGGCAACTGTACAAAGAATCCCCGCATCTCGGTGCCTTGGCTTGATGATGGCATATGATTGCCGAATTCTCCGTCATGCTCCCCACTGCGAACGCCGCGACTGAGGGAAGTTCTACGTATGCACAGATGGCGCGACTCACCCACATCCGAAGGCTCAGGGGAAGAGAAGCAGAGTTGCAGGAACCCAGCAGACTTGCTTCGCCAGGGATACAGCGTCTTCTGGGAAGAACTGGATCAGGCCTTCGACAGTTGCACAGATCAGCCGCACACAGCAAGTGTTCGGAAGCAGTCGCTATTCCCGTTGGCAAGCAAACTCTGCAAGCATCTCGAAAGATGCTGAGCGATGTTGCATGTCTTCGCACTCTGTGACATCGGAAAAGGTCAAGTCAAGGCAGTGAGTTGCAATGTCGCGAGAGAAGGCAGTCACCGGCATGGGCTTCGACTCCTTGTACAGTGTCTTGGCTTAGTCGCCTTTTTCGACCAGTAGTTCCATGGATCTCGCGATTCGCAGAACAAGTCACCTGTAGCAGGACATGAAAGAGTCGCCCCATGAACTTGACTATGTGCGGAAGTCGTTGTCCATCCAAGGCAAGATGGCTCTTCCCTATTTCCTGCTGAGGCCACCTCGAAGCATCTGCTTTTTATTCATGTGGCTGAATCTATGGAAGTCCCTGAGAGCCCGCAGGATTGTCGCCTTCATCTGCGACACGATCACTGCATTTACTGGGAGGAAGTTAAAGCTCGGCTGGTTCACCCTTCGGATGCTGACCATGCACAGGCAAGACTTGAAGCGCAGGGCAAAGCCTCGCTCGTGCACGCCATGTCCAACAGTTCCCATTTGCGTTGCTGTGCAAGACCAGGATAGTCGGTTGTCCAGACTGGCCATTAAGTGCTGCTGACAGGTGGTTTCGCATCACAGCTGCGCAGACTGACCTTGGTTATCAGCCCGTGCCTGGTCATCGATGATTTTCCAGGTTTCGACTTCTGAGGTAGACTTCTCCCTTAAGAGACGGAGGGCGGATGCGTTTTTCAGCTTGAGGGAGGGACCGCAAGCGTCGAGACTTGCTCAGGTGGTGTCATACAAAGAGGGGTGGCCAGACACCATCGAATGGTTCAGGACAGCCTTGAGTTTGGAAGGTGCTAAATATGTAGGGAGAGAGGTCTGGAATGAATTTGGGCAGACACGTTTGCGACCGCGATGATAGGGGAAGATGAATCGGCTCACCTGACAGCCAGAACATTCCCTGAGTGGAACTGGTTGCAGGAATAAGTGGCTGCCGACTTTCGATCCGAAGACGGCATCTGGCACCACCGGGTCCATAGCGCAGCAGACGGTCGACAAGGCTGGAGGGCAACACTCATCTAACCTTCGTCGATCTTTTCCAGTTTGACAGGAACGCACGTCTCTGTCAAACTAGAGGCGGATGTGTTTGCCCGGCACGAGGTGAAGCTACAGGAGCAGAAAATGCAAAAGTGAGACGAGACGCCTGTCTGTCTTATCAGGAGTGACCTGGGAAGACATAAACTAAAATCACGGATCGGCCTGCCGTTGTGCAGCACGTCTCCAGAGTCGTCAGCCCTTGCTAGATCTGGGTTTATTTTAACGGCACATTCACGGCAGCCAGCCGCCGACCTCCCAACTGTTTAAGCTAATCCCTGAACAAGAGGCATCACGATCTGCCGCGAAGCCTCTTTGTCAACAGGAACTCTTTGTAGATCTCGTCACATCAGCTTCAGTGTCACCGTGCAGAGTCCAACGTGATGTCTGCAGTTTTCCTCGGATGTCAACATGCAGGCCTCTGTTGTAGGCATGGGTGTGCTGCAGCGTGCTCTTGAGAGTTGTGGCAGGTCGAGCAAAACATCACGAAAGACAGCCGTGCCTGAAGCCCCGGCGCGGGTCATGATTCCGTCCGTTTTGAACTGTGTGAGCTGCACCGGTTTTGCATTGAATCAGTGGAGCCGAAGGTCTTCCATAGGCAGCTACCCATTTCCATGTAGGATTGCTTTTCGGTGCAGGCCTGAACTAGCCCGGAGTCGGCCCAGTGTAATATCATCTGATTCTGCTTTTCACTTTTCACATAATCACGCAAGAATCCAGGCAGCACCTGCGATATGCACGTAGCAATTATGCAGATTACCTTAAGAGTAGTGTGTCACCTCAGAGATTTTTTGCCTGTGCTTCCCCAGCAATGCTGTTCGTGAGTTGGCGTCCTGACATCCATTTCCTCACGATTCCAAATCGTTGCTAGTGGTTTGAGCTGCCGAGGCTGCAGATCTTGGCGGGCAGGTCAAGGCCAGGGTTTGGTAACATGAGACGTGATCTGGTGTGCGTTTGGGCTGGCCAATGTTGGCCGGCGCGATGGGAGGGTGGGCTCGATTGATGCAAGAAGCCTACGATCGTGCAAACTCTCCGGGCCAGGACCTGCGCTTGGACGTCACGGAGCTGTTGACGCTGAAGGCACGGGGGGTGTCCACACACTCCTGAACACCAGTTGGACAAAGTCCTCGACGAAGCCCCCGGCCAGGTGAAGCCCCGCCTCGTCGGCTTGGAAAGGGATGCCCCTCGGCGCTTCTTTTTCGGAAGGTCTTCGGCGCATTTCATGGAATTCGCCTCGTACTATCATACTGCGCCTCATAAGAGTCGAGTAACTTGGGTGCTGAGGCCAGCGAGATGCGCAGAAGGTTGCTCGCGCTCCCTACGTGCATCGCTGGTGAGGCCCTGGTCGGCTACGGGCCTTCTGAAGGAGAGAGAGCACCCTGTTATGCCGGATATGCTGCGCAGCAACTGTAGTACTGTAGCGACTGTTGAACGGATGACGCATTCCAAGATACTTGCTCCCACGGTTCCCGTGCGTCACCAGCGCGTCGGAGTCTGCAAACCTGGCCCACGAGACCGTCGCAGGCCGGCGGCCGTCGTGGTGTTCCCGACGACTCTGAGAAGGCCAGACAGCCATCGAGTGATGAAAACCAAAGAATATGACGGCCGGCCAGGCGAAGAAGTCGATACAGGAGATGGGGGAGGCAAGGCCAAGCTGCCATGGCATGTGCGCCTATCGAACGCAGCTTTGGAGCCTGTATCATCCTGTCCCGATGGCTCTGACTCTAAAGCGCCTTCAGTGAGTGAAGGGTGCTAAGTGGGCATCGGCGAGCCATGTCGCTGCCTGCCCGGCTTTGGAATCCCGGCAGCGCGATCGTGCAGGCCAGGTTCACATGGCAAGTGAGGCACGACGTGTCGTGTCCAAGCTGGGCTCAGGAGTTCGCGCGCAGTACCTCAGCCCTTCTCAGCCGCTGTCCCCCTGAGCGATCGCAGCTTGGATGCATCGGAGGCTCCGTGCTCTGAAGTCCGTTTCCGCTCGTGGTTCGCTGAGGTTCTTCCCTTCGGCTCCGGCCGAAACTATTGAGCCACCACTTGGAGAGGCAATTCCAGAAGGTCTCCCGGAATTGAATGAGGTTCCTGACGTCCCTGCTGATGTGCCTGTGGAGCCCTTGCCCGGGCCGACGTCAGAGACTGCAACAGGAGTGGGATCTAACTTTCTGACTGGATTCTTCTCCGGTGCGATGAACACCTTCTTTGCTCCCGAACGACAGGCTGCGGAGCAACGGGGAGGGTCGGTCGCCTCGCTAGTGACCCACGGTGTCTTCCTGACAACCGCCTGGTTTGTCTCACGCTCATCGCCCTGCCGTGGAGTTGCCGAAGTCATTGGCTCTGCCTTTCAACGGGTGCCGCTGCTTGGACAGGGACCCTTGGGGTCAGTTGTGCAGATGGTTGTCGGAGCACAGCTGGGTGAATACGCAGGGCGCAAGCTTGGCGAGCTGCGCGGGAAGACAACTAGCCCCGCAGTTGGTGCTGAAGAAGGTGCCCCGTTCGAAATCTACCTGTCAGAGATGTGCGTGCTTTGCCACGATGCTTTTGGGAACGGAGCGAATCGCGTGGCTGCTTTAAGTTGTGGCCATGCATGCCTATGCTCCGACAATGGCTGTGCATCCTGGAAGCAAGAGTTTCGAGTGCAAAGAGTTGCCGATTGCTTGCCATCGTGGGACCCAGGTAGCCCAATGGGAGGCTTCGGCACCTCAGGGCCAACGAGTCTGTCCAGTCTGCCGTCATGAAGGAGCTCAGGTGATGTGCTACGTGAGAGGATGAATCTCCGAACGAATTGGACATTTGACATTCTGCCGCAATGCTGCGATGGTACGCCCCTTCAATCAAGTGTTCGCCCACTAGCGCGTCTTAGCTCTCTATGTTACCAGCGTAGTATGCTGATGTGCATGGTTGAATCTCAAGAAGGGTCGTTCTCAACAATCTCCTGCACTGTACAAAGCTAGGACCAGCCACAGAAGCTGGTGCAATATTGTTGAGCTCATCCACTCGTCGGGTGAAAACATTCAGAGCTGCCCTGTGAAAAAGCAAGGGAAGCCAGACCATGTTGCTTGAAGGCTTTGCTCGATAGAGCACGGCGAGAGATGCAACGGCAGGAAGATGTCGCTCTAGCCCCGGCTGCCAGCGGTCACTCACTAGGTCAAGGCTTTGGAGAATGTGGCAGATGCAGTCTCTCAGGCGCAAAGCCATGCGGCCAAGTTCCATTGCATCGAGGCATGGAAACCAGAAGAGCCGAAAGCTCAAGACCGGACCACCAAAACGGGGGCTAGAAAGTTATGCATCTGTCAATCCGATCTTCATACGGACGGAGATCCAACCTTCTCCATCTCCGAAATGAACTCGGTGGGGCGGCTTCAACTTGCAAATCAGTCGGTGCATGCTTCCCTTCGGGTTGTCAGCTATGTCCAGCGCAGGCATCCCTGGAATCGGCCAGCCGTGAGTTGACCACGGAGGTGCTGCTGTGGGGAGAGCTGGTGCGCTGCTTTGATTCCGCCTTCACCCCTCCATTGAATAATGGGGTCTAATAGGATCAATATAGGCAATACAAATACAGGCTAAGATGATCGCTGTCATGGAACATGCTTAGGTTTCACTGCAGGCCCGCAGCAGCATGCAGCTCGCGGAGCGGAAGGTGCCAACTCCTGACGCGAGCCGGGTCTGCTCTTGAGGGTTTTTGTGCGGCACATATTCTCAGATAGAGCAAGAGAGTCCCAGCATCCTTCTGGCTCTGGGCTGACTATGCAACTCTCTCCATCTCTACACATCTCTGTCTCTATAATCTCTACTTTTAAATGTAGGGCGTTTTTGCTCCATCTGATCGCGCTCTTCGCGAGGCCGAGGCGCTGGCCTCGAATGTGGCAGCGAAGGCATGGCACCGAGGGCTCTCCGGAGTGCAAGGACCCCAAGGCGAAGTCCCTGCAGCTCGCCGCTCGCCAGGTTGGACGAAGTGTCGCAGAGGAGCAGCTGGATCAGGCCTCGTAATGGCGTAGGGAGAGGAGAGGCGTTAGCGGCTTCGTTTCCTTCACGGAACCGTCGGCCAGGCTCTGGTCACGTTTCGGGAGGAGCTGAGCCAGATCCGAGGTAGCACCGTCGAGGTCAGCCATAGACTGCCAGTGTCAGCCAAGGTCTGTGAGGCTTTGAAGCTTTGAGGCACCTGTCAAGGAGGTCTGCTGGTGATTCGCAGAGACCCTTGGTTCATCCGCAGTCACAGCCGTGACAACCTCTCTTTGAGACGGCCCTCTTGCATGCCTGTCTGGGACTGGAGCCAGGCTAGCCAGGCCAGCTCGCTCTTGCGAGCCGAGCTTTCGGAGGCGAAGACTTGCTTCTCAGAGGTGGGGGCTTGGCGCATTGGGAGCCTTCAAAGGGGCAGCAACTCACTACGCTAGCCATAATGTACTGACGGAACCGGAGGCTCTCTTTGCCAATCTGTAAGTCTTCGACCATTTTCCATACCTTGTTAAGTCTTTGTCTTTCGGGCCTGAGCTTTGGAGCCCTTCACAGGCCGATGCACAGCTCCGTGATCAGATCGACGGTTTGCAGGGCTCCCTCACGGAGGCACGCAACCGGGCATCAGATGCTTTTGTAGCTTGCAGCGAAAATCCCTACTGCCCTCTATGTCCCGTGAAGAAGTGGAGGCCAACAGCGCACTGCGAGTCCAAGTGGAGGAGGCGAAGGCAGCAGGTAATTCTTCCAGCGAGGCCCGGTATCCCGGAATTCTGTTGTTCGTTGCGGCGCGAGTGCAGCTTGCGTGAGCATCCCTGGGCCTCGTGCTCTTCCTGAAGGCGACAGGGTGCCTTCATCACGAAGTCGAAACTGTCAGCTCCGAGGCCGGAGCCCTCGGGAACCCGTGTGAAGCTCAGAGTCACTGGTGTAGCTGAAGCAGCTGAAGGTGCGAGTGACGCAGCAGGAGGTCCAATCCTTGAAGCGAGGATCACAGGAGGCCTCCGCAAGAGTCAGATGTCCGTTTGAGTATCAACATGTCGCAAATCACAATTGTCAGGCCACCGCGGCCGTGAGAGAGGGCTTCGCGAAGGCGAGTGGAAAGCTGTGCAGATGATACACATGTGCATCCCTGTGCCGAGCGAGGACAGTTTTACCTGTTGTCACACTGTCACACTTTCACGCATGTGCAGATCGCAGCCGCTTGCCAGGTCCAGACACTGTCAGCTGAGGCCGGACACGAGTAGTTTTGCGAGGGAGCTTTCTGAAGGTCTCTGGTGAGCGCTACTCGGTGCTCGTTGCTGCGTGTGGAAGGCGATCGCAGGCCTCCGTCAACAACTTGCCGAGACGAAAACCGACTTGGCAGAGGCTGTTGAATTTTCTGCAGTCTTGTTATCCTTCTCGTTATCCTTCTCTGAATGCTGCAGCCTAGGCGGAGAAGAGCCTGCAGATGGAGCATGCAAAGGTGCTGAAATTTGCGGGACATGCCAGGAGCTCAAGCAGCAAACACACCAGTTGCAGCAGTGCGATGGTGCCCTGTGCAACGTCTTGCCACCTTAGTAGCCGCTTGTCGCCAGTCATCGCAAACCCAAAGTCCCTAAGCCCCAAACCCTAAAAGTTTTGCCTAAACGATGCTAGGGTCCAGGGGACCTGTTTGCCAGGCCGAGTTCGAGGCCAGGCCTCCAGGGGCAGATGATGGCAGAGCTGCCCACGACTCTGTACAGCACCTTGCAAGACATTAATAGTATAATATAACATGATATAATGTAATATAATATAACATGATATAATATAGAATCAGATTCCTATCTTGACTCCGACGGGGATTTTCAGCACTAGGCATTGGGCAGGCCCAGACGGCTGCACAGCAGACTTCGCGGCTTGCTGCCGGCCTTCGGGGGGTCGAGGAGAAGATTTTGCACGAAGGTTGACTTACTGCACCATGCCACAGTATATCGGAGTACATGGTATCACGGTAAGCCTTACCAGAGTATTCATCTCCGTGAGGAGACTGCACAGCATGTCTGCTTTCAGATTCGGCGGGCATGGCAGGGACGGAGCATGGTCATGGTCGCGTTCGAATTGCTTTCTTCCCAATCAGCTGAAGAGCACCGCCTGTATTGCAAGACGCTGGCAGGAGACACTGGAACGTCGCATGCAGTGGGTGGCAGCGTCCAGCAACGAATTGGAAGCCGGTCCCCGGGATGTCTGTTTGCTGTAAGCGTCCAGCTTCAATTAGCATGCGAATTGAAGCATCAGCCTCAAGCTGTAGCTACTGGTATCTTCGGCATCTAACACTGTGTTTTGGTGAGGCATTCTGTCACCGAGGCCTCGGTTGCGCAGGCCTTTGCGGAGTCCCACTCCGCACTGGCACGCACGTCCCGGGCACTTGCGGCAGAGGCTTTGGTTCAGGGTTTGAGGACAAAGTCGTGCTGCGAAGTCACACAGGAGTCGTGCCATCGCACCACTACGGGAAGCAAAACTTGGACGTGCCATGATGCTCACAACAAAAGTGGATTGCCATCATTCTTGACGGAGCTGCGCAGGTGGTGGCTGAGCGCTGTCGCTCTGCACAGGCAGAGGAAGATGTGGTCTCCCGGCTGAGGAGGCCCCAATCAAGACACTGACTTGCGCAAGTCCTCTCCCTACATTCTCCGGATCAGGTTTGAGGATGCTGTCAGCGGCGACTCCCGTTCACAGGCGAGCCCAAACGGGGGACGGGCGATCGGCTCACCAAGCTCACGCCTTGCTTCCGTATTTCTGGTGCTCTCACAGTGTTTTCCGAGTCACGGCTTCAGGCAGACGCAGTTGAGCAGCTCAACCAGGCGCTGGTAGTGTTTTAGTGCCTTCAAAGTTAGCCTCGGCTGACAGGAATGCGTGGGTGTTTGAGCAGGCTTGGAATGACTTAAAAACTTCGTCTGATCAAGTTGGGGCCGAGAATGACCAGATCAGCCTAGTGTTCAGGCTATCGCTGTTGCCGCGCTGCGAAGGTGCTTGGCCGCGGAAAAGAGATGCTTATTGATGGACTTGCAGCGAGATGCCAAAGCAGCGGAAATGACAGCATGCGTAGAGCAGGGGGGGTGGAAGACTTCAGCCTGAGGCAAGGAGAGGAGCGCAACCTCTTGAAGAAGGCTTCCTCCGACAGACGCCTGTCTAGCATGTTGAGCTCCTTAGGAAGGTAGCTGGCTGCAGCTAGCTGCTTCTGCTCGATGCAGGTCGGATGTTTTTCGCGTGGATGTCGTTGTCTGCAGGTCCATGACTCGTTGCGCAGCATTGACGAGCGGCGTCCTCTCGAGCGCCGGGAACTCGTCGAGGCACAGGGGAAAGAGTGCTGAAGAGAGCTTTGGTGAAGGCAGCGGCCTCTGAAGCATTGGTTGGCTCGGGCTCTCCAATCCGTGAGAGGCTGCAGGACGAGCCGTGGCAGAGGCTGGCGGATTCGTCGCAAGGATGGCAAGATACAGGTATTGAGCAAGTCGACGGGATCTGTGCCATCCGGTGGCGTTGTTTACTGTAGAACCTAAAAGGCTGATATGTCCATCCACAAGCCCGAGTGACTCTTCAAATCTGCTTCTGTGCGCCTGTGTTGTCAGGGTTGTCCAAGATGCGACAGATGGCTTGCAGAGAGCGTGAAAGCTTCATGACCCTCCGGCCAGCAGAGCTTTAGGGCTTTAGGGGGTTGTGGGACTGGGAGTCGTGAGCCTTCGACGGCTTCTGCCCGCGCCTCAAATCAGGGAGTTGAGGCATGTTGACACTCGGAGCTCCAGGACGCTTGGGCGATGCACTAAGTAGATACCACAGCGTAGGCAGCTACTGGTACAGGGTATGTCGACTGAAGGTACTGTGCCGACTCGTGTCGGATGCTCTTGGTAGAAATCGGAGCTGCGCTACTTTCTCAGGGACCCTCACGCCTCACCTCGCCCACAGTGGCGATGGCTCGACGCGACTTGGCTGAAGCGGCCATCGGGCAAGCAGACATAGATCAATGACCACGGCGCTAGGGTAGTCAATGGTAGTCAAGTGAGGCATTGATGGGCTCTACTGCACGGCGGAAACTGCCGATGAAGTGGTGAGGTGCGGCGAGTGTTTCTAGAGCACCAGTCAGTCTACCTAAGAGTGGAGACACCGAGCATCACCGAGCTACATAAACGCTGAGGACTCGTTCCGATGTCGAAGTAGGGCCTATATTTGGCGGGGTGTCTCCTTCAAGTCTCCTTGCAGTTGTATTGATCTCGCTTTGGAGATGCGCGGAAGCACATCCACAATCGCAATCCGATGCCCCACGTCAGCCAGGCGTGTAATTGCAGAGACCCACAACGAGGCGGATAAGGTCCGGAACGAGGTGGATTACGTGAGTACAGAACAGTTGTGTCTATCACAAAGACTGCTGCTTCTCGGCACCAAGTGCCTAATGCTGCAATGTAGCCAGTTGTGTGAGAAGGTGGCCGAATCTTAGTCATAGAGCAGGGTTGTCAGCTTATTTCTCTTGGCGTTTGCCTCTGTGTTGAAAGTGTTAAACATCGCTGAGATCCAGGTCAGGAGGGCATCAAGGGCATGCGCTCGATGTGCAAGGCGGACAGAACATGACACTGTGACAGGTTGCAGCAGCTGTCTCCGAGCGCATCCAAGCGCTCCAGGTACGGGTAAGTAGATTGCGGGCATGCTCAAGTTTCTGCCATTGACTTGTGAGCATTTTCCCACAGCGCATGGCGATGAGAGTGTCTGCAAGCCAGAGGCATCAGCTTGTAATCTCAAGCCCTCGATCACATGAGACGCCGTGGTAAGCTGTGGCGGACTATACTAGATTTGCCCACTGTGTTTTTAGCTGTTCAAGTTTGAACGTTGTGCTGCAGGCACGACAGCAGGAGCTTCTCAACCAGATAGACTTCATGGTGCAGTCCAAAGTGCAGGCAGACTTTTCTGCATCATAGTATAGTAATTGTAGCGGTGCTGGTGGTGGCAATACTTACAGCAGCAGCAGCAGCAGCAGAAGCAGCAGCATTGCAAACAAGGAGCAAACCGCTCGAAAAGGAACTAGAGAATCTCAGAAGAAGGAGCAAACCGCTCGAAAGAGACTAGAGAGTTTGAAAACAAGGAGCAAACCGCTCGAAAGGAACTAGAGCATCTCAGAACAAGGGGCAAATCGCTCCAAAGAGACTAGAGAATTTGAACACAAGGAGCAAACCGCTCGAAAGAGAATAGAGAATTTGAACACAAGGAACAAATCCCTCGAAAGGAATATTAAAGGAACTAGAGAACTTCAGAACAAGGAGCAAACCGCTCGAAAGAGACTCGAGAATTTCAACACATGGAGCAAACCGCTCTAAAAGAACTAGAGAATGTCAGCAGAAGGAGCAAATCGCTCGAAAGAAACTAGA